GAAGTATTACAAACATGAATACACTCAAGTAACCCACTCGAATGTGAAGAAAAGGAATGGTTTCATCGAAACTCTGTTACAAATGTTGCAAATCCAATCACAGTTATATAGTTTCGACGAAACATGTTTCTACATATAAATGCATTTTTTCTTTAGGGCATCAACATAATCATAACGACAAATTTTGAAAACTTGATAACAAATCCTGTCACATTTCTTGGCCGATTTGTTAGAAAAGTAAATAAGTAAATAATAATAAAAATGAATTACTGGTTTGTCTGGAGCCAATAATGGGAAACAGTTCATCCTCCTGGTACGTGTGGGTTCTACAAAATGTTCCTTTTGGTGTGGTTCTTGGCCTGTTCCTAATTAAAATTAGAAGGAGTATTCCAATTAGCTTGATCGTGTTTGTCAATCGAGAAATAATAAAAGAGGTTTTATGAACTTCGATACTGAGTAGATTTACTAGAATTTGATGACACTTTCAAAATATGGTTAAAGTCTTATAAAAATTACAAATGCTTTGCGTAAAATCTGCGGGCATCTTCATGGTAATTCACGGGAAACTTGGTAAATATTTATCAGAGAGAAAGCTTTTCCAAACAAACGTTGTGCAAGGAAATGAAACAGTATTATATACAAAATACCCTCTTTCAGTTACTTTTCATGTTTTAAAAGTAGTTAAATGGAAATAACTTATTATGCTGTGTCATCTTATAACTTTGGAACCGATCACTAATTTTGATCAAACATTGTCTTGTCTGTCCCTTCACAAAATTCTTAAAACTTTCTCAAATTTCATGAAGATAAGTAGACAGGCATAGTTACTTAATTAAAAAAAATTAGAAATTTTTAACAAGATTATTGAATATTTATTGACTTTCAAAAAATAGACTTGTACACGATTATAATAATCGTATTGTGTAATACGTGAGATATTCTGTAACAATCGGTTTAGCTTATATATATACACAGGGACCTGGTCGCCCAGGTTGGAGGTTTGAACAAATCTGTAAACCTTGCGCTGTAAAATAATTATTGCTGCAAAATTCCTAGAAGTGGAAACCAGTTATATTTGGCATAATTTTCAAATAAAAGTTGTAGCTCAAAAATTCTATTTTGACAGTGATAATGATATACACGCACATATGTGATCTGGCAATAATTGAAAAAGGAATTAAAAAATGCAGAATACCCGAAAATAGTTTTTTACTATCCAAAGTAATATCTGCGTACTTGAATACACGTGCTTCCAAAGGAACAGCATTCAGTTCGGACGTCACTTTTTTTAATGTTTTCAGCATCCTGAAACCTCTTTATTTTGAGAGCAGTTTTTACCGTATGAAATAGGAAAATACACTTTGACAGGATATCAGTAGAACAGAGTGGACTCCTTACCTCAACAGCACCGTGTTTGGCCAAAAATATCTTCACTGCCAGTGCATTGTTGTGCAACGGAAGCCAGCTGGCATCTGCTCGAAATTGTGGGCTTACCCGGGAAGCGCACTTCAGCAATCTTCCGATAACCTCAAAATAGAAAGACCTATTGACTCTCCGCCTCCTAGGGATAAATTCTTTATAATTTTCGAAGGTTTATGAAAAGAAATATGATCAGAATAATTTTGGACATGGACTTTTCAAAACGAAGATTTTTGCCTTGGTGGTGACTTTGTTGTCCATTGCATGCTCTGACGTCTTGTCTCTGAGTCATATTGAAATACCCATGATTCATCCCCAGTTACAATATTATCAAGAAAACTGAGATTCTTCTGACAAGTCTGGTTGAAATCTTGGCATGATGTGAGTCTCCGTTACCCTTGCTGGTCTGTGAGTCTGTGTGGGATGAACTCTGCGCAGATGTTCCTCTTCTGCAAATCTTCATGGAGAATTTGACGAATCATCTTTTTATTGGTGTTCAGTTCATCCGCCAGCATTCCGAGAGCCCATGCCGATCTCATGTCGTCATTTCACGGGCATTTGCGATTGTGTCTGCATTTTGAGATGTCGGGCGCTCATTTCTTGGATGATTCTGAAGATCCTCACGCCCGCCTTTAAGCTTACACCATGCACATACACCGCTAAGACTTAAGGCTTCATACCCATAGAGAACTGCAGCATTTCATAAGTTTCTGTCGAAGTTTCACTCAGTTTCACACAAAATTTTGTATTCATCCTTTGCTCTATGACAGCAGTTAGAAACACAACTAACTTACTGAGGTGCTGCTCGTGAACTGTCAGTGACTGGACTTGCTGACCCCTGCAAATTGTTGGTAAGAAGTAGAACGATACTTACATAACAGTAGTTTGTTTGACAACCACATGCTAATGTGAATGCTGCGACACCAGTCTTGAAACATATATAAGTTGATGATAAACGGTTGGTAATAAATATTCAGAACAATTTACACAAGTTTGGTGAATGCAATAAAGTCACGTACCTTTATCTGAAAAGCACTTCTAAAATGTCCAATTTTTATCAGAATTATACCTAAAGTACTGTTTCAAATGTATTCTAAAAATACACTTTCTTGGAAATAAGGGTCCAGTATTCATCTGTATGTGCTGTACAATTTCCGCTGACCATCCCTAATTCCAGCTGGACACTTAAGTGTAATTCCTAAACTCTTTGCCATGTGATGTTATGGACTTCTTTGTTACACAACGCCGCAATCCGAACTAGAAGGAGCAGCAGGCAGTGTGAAAAGAGTAAATTGTAAAGATCTTGAAAGTATAAATTTCGTTGATGTTGGCAGATCTGCTGGCTGTCTCAAAGATTTCAGCAGTTTCCTTATTTTGATCAAAGTTGGCCTACTGAGAAACTGCATAACTTTATTCCGTCAGTATGAACAATTTCTCAGTTTGTACACATTCGTGCTAATGGTTTCCAAATCTTCACGATAACAAGTAAGAAATTTGCTAGTGAAATGTTTGAGAACAGCGCTGGGGGATATTATTTTCAGTTTGAATTATTTTTCTGTATATGTAGAATGATATAATTGGTTGAATAACAGACAATGAAGGAAATTAAGAGGCCTATAAATATATAACTTATACATTTCGCCTAATTTTGTGTAGAAGAAGAAAGAGTAACCTGTGCAGGTTTTGTTGGATACATCAGAATAAAATTTTGGAACTTGCAATTCCATTTTCAGAACGTTCGTGCACAGGATAGGTTACAGTGGCCACAACTTCAGTGTCAATGATGAATTTTCGGGTTTCATAGCAACAAGAAATTTCTTGATAGTGTTAATGATTACCAACTGCACAAGCAAAACCCTGTGCACTTGTTATTTTCTGTTTTCCTGGTGACGCTGTCAGTGTCTCGCACTTCGTATCTCCGAATGGTACGAGATCAACATATATGAGCTATCACATGTATGCGATTAGGAGTAAATAATAAACGGGAGAGGACTCGAAGAAAATGGTCGTTGCCTAATTTAGATACTATCCCGGCATTTTCCTGCCAGAAAGGAAAAAATTTACGAAGTCTCAGACAGGATAGTAAGTTTCCCATCCGAGATTCGAAAGAGGTGCCTCCGGAATGCAAATCAGAAACTTTACCGCTCGAGACAAGTTGCCGGGTAAGGAAGACCTTATCTTACAGGTAGAAAATTCAATAAAATGACTTCAGGAAAGTTACAAGGAAAGAAGTTCCACTAACTGTTCCAGCAACTTATGTAATCCTGCATTACCCTCGCGCTCTTTTCCTCTTCTCTTTCCGAAAACTTAACTGTGCCTTGTGAGTACTCACTCAGAAACTGAAATTGTTCCTGTTTCACGAATAGAAACTCCCGCCCCGACTTTCCAGTACGTACTATTAGCAATTAAACCAGCAACTTAAATACAGTAATCTTCCATAATATAATGCGCGTGTTTGTAAAAAATATTTCGAAGACTTTTTTTCATTTTCTACCCGAATTGTCCATCGATATGTTCAGTTACTCCTATAATTAACCTGCTACAACTGACGAACTAAACAAAAACATTTCTTCAGCAATTCTCAGCTAATATGCCGATCAAGAAACGGATTTTCCATCTCATTTATCACAAACCTGTACATCTTTCCAGATCACTTGAATCCAGATTTAATGTTATGTTATAATATTACCATCGGGTCTCCTTCTCGATTGCAAAACATTTTTTACCTCCATGTTTGCGAACAAATGCTTGTATTAATTTTGTATTTTCTTCATGCATGTTGTGTGTTATTTTCACTTCATGGAATTTATTATTGTAAAAATATTCGATGCACAGGAACAATTCTGAAGCTATTTCTCACGAAACTCCCTCAGTTGCTCTGGTATTTCTTTTCTTTTAAATCCAAAAGTAATTTCCAGCAATATAATCTCAGACAACCTCAATCTCCGTCTTTTCTTCGGAGCGAGAGACAAGTTTCCCACTGAAAAAGAAAGAACAGAGGGAACTGCAACGTTCTGTGATATTTCTGGTGTATGTAATCACAACTACGTGGATGTCTGAATATGGGAATTCCCCTTCAACACCTCCGGAAAGTCTCTCTCTTTTTCTTCGTTTCTTTTCCTTCCCTTTAGTGTAAATATGTCGCAGTTTCCACATCACGTGATTGTAACTAGCCTTCGTCATTATTTCCGTTCCATTCTCGCTCCTGATTTGTCATGGTCCGCCCCTTCTCCGACCCCATGCTGGACTCTTCCGATGCCCGGGGCGATGATCAGTGTTCTTCCAATCGCCGAACACTCACTAACCACAAGAGCAGTTCCTTTCTCTCCGATCTGTTGTCTCTTCTACTTCCTACTCTAATTGTCTCATTCTGGAATTAATTCTGAAGAAGAGCCCACTTGCAACACTAATATTTCCCCATCTTTCTGTCTTCTTTCAATCGAATCCTTGCGTTTTGAAAGCGTTTATTCTGTGTCACGTCAGTAACTGCTCTCGTATATAAACTTTCGTTTGAACGTTTAAATACGAAAGAAACAGCCGTAAGAATTAAGTAATGAGGACTTGTTTGAAATTCTGTGCAGCACGGAGCACCTAACAGCTGGAGGCGGAGTAGGGATCACCGGGGGAGGCAGTTCTTACCCCGGTTCAGCCAGAACCAGTGCCACAGCATCTTTGGCTTCCTCGAGAGAATCCAGCACCAGTAACCCTGGACCGACAGGCTACAGAGTAGTGATGTTGGGGTCAGCAGGTGTAGGGAAGTCTTCTCTCATCAACCAGTTCATGACGTCAGAGTACCTGCATGCCTACGACACTTCTCTGGGTAAGCAATAAACAACCTCGCAGAATATGTGATGTTAAGTGTATAGATAAACTGCACAAAGATTCCAACATCAGGAGCTCCACACACACATTTCTCAAATGGGAGTTTTTCAAGTAACATTACAAACCAAAAAGGTGGGTCTGCTCCGAACCAATCTCTTCAACTATTGCCGACCCTGTACCTCATATTTCTGCAAGTCTCTGCTTGGATATTTAGTGATCATTTTCGACACAAGAAAGACGTCAAGAATATGAAGAAGGAGAAATATATATGTTTAGTAATTTTATTTTGTACCTACATTTCCTTTTAACACGGAACTGCGACTCTCTAAAATTTGTTTATGACGTAGGAAGTACGTGATCTGACAAAGTTCGCGAACTTGTCGCGATAAAAGTGCTCCATACCTCATTGCTGAATATTACTGTGATCGTCTTCAAAGTACTCCCCTTGGGAAGCTATGCACCAATGCCAGTGCCTAGTCCACCTGTCAAAATAACTTTGGAACTGATTTTGCAGAATGGCCTTGAGAGCTGCCGTCGTAGTAATCCTGATGTCATCAGTGTCATCAAATACCTTCTTTCAATATTTCCTTTATCTTCTGAAACACAAAAAAAAAATTAGGGGGACTAGATCCGGTGAATATGGAGGGTGTTCCAGCACCGTTCTTTGTTTACTAGCTAAGAACTCCCTCACAGTCAGTGTTCTTTGGTGAGCTCATTTGGAACCAGTTTTGCACACACCTTCCTCATGTCAAGATCTTCAGTTAAGATTTCTCAAACTGTTTCCCTGTCGATGTTCGCTTCCTCTGCTATGCACCTGACAGTCATCCGACGATTTTCAGGCAAAATTTGACGAATTTTCATAATGTTTTCTTCCGTTCTGCTCGATGCTGGCCGTCCTGAACTCTCTTCGCCAGTGAAACTTCTTGTAAACTGCTGTTTTCTTCGTATTCGTAGCATTATCCCCGTAANGGTTCTGCTCGTTGCTGGCCGTCCTGAACTCTCTTCGTCAGTGAAACTTCCTCTTCCCTAAGAAAAACGTGTCACCCACTTGTAAACTGCTGTTTTCTTCGTATTCGTAGCATTATCCCCGTAAACTTGCACTAACATCTCTCTGATTTCGCTTCCACGCTTGTCAGGTTTAACAAGAAGCTCCAACATTCTCACGACAACACACCAAAACACACTCAGACAATAATAGACACCACTCAGAAAGAGACTCCCATAGATCAACAACAAAACAGCTGTGAAACGCTGAAATGCCAACGTCATCAGACCATACTGATGTTTCTGTCCACTTCTGCCACGGCAAGCACACGGTGGCGTGTTCGCTAACTTTATTGTCAGACCATGTATATGAGTATTCCCTTTTACTTGATTTTAAAAAGCTTGAGCTGGAATTATTATTCAATGAAGTTTTAGTTAAAAGAGTGTTTGTAGAGATTTAATTTATATTACGTTATATTCAGGTGAACGCCTTTCTAAATTCTTGGATTACATTCTTCTTTAAAGTGCGACAAAACACCTCACGGAAAGTAAATCTTTGTAGTATGGGTGAGTACAAGAATTCTTTATCTAAATCGGAAATATTATTTTATTCTCACTTCAACAACGTGTCAAAGAAATTAATTCCCGAGATCGTCTGATTCGAGAGCAGACAATGTCCACATGCTGATAAATAATTTTCATAGCATGTCTGCATGATACTGCATTTTCAGTATACAGTGTCATAAAAACAAGACGTCTTCTCAATATATGCTAAGACGAAATTTCCGTAGCATAACTCCCAAAATTGGCAACAGGAAAAGTTGAAACATTTCCTGCCCATTCAAGATATGACAAAAAAGCCTTCGAACCTAACTATCTTCGACTTTGTACAGCTTCTCCGTAAAAAATATATTTCCTTCTACATCCTGTTTTTCCTTTCGGCTTTCGTTTCAGTATCTTTCAGTTTTTGAGACCAAGAGTCTTTGCGTACTCAGCACGATGGACCCAATGTCATCCGTACGGATGAAAAATCTGTGGATGTATAATACTTTCTGCTACAAGAGTAAAAATGTTTCGCATGTTCTATGTTAAACGTTCACAGAATCTGATATTATGTTATGCCAACCAGCATAGCAACACCCCTACAATTGCAAATACGATTAGTATTGTAATATGTTGCTGCACAAGAATGTGGAGACTGCAAAACACTTGCAAAAAGTAGCATACGTTAAATATTAGATCTGTACATACGAGGACTACTCGGAAAACAGCATCCGGGGAGTCGTTAATAGAACAGGCAGTAAGGAAGATTTTAATTATGTACGAAAATTCATAAATACTTGAGCTACTTCTCAACTTAGTCATTGCCGGAACTGAGGCATTCGTATGGGGCTATAAGTTTTTATGCCTCTCTCAAAGAATTTTGTCGTCTGTGAGCTCATTCAAGTTTTTCTATGCCCCATCAACTCCTCATTATTGTTAAAGCGCTGTGATCTTAACCAGCTCTTAGGTAGGCAAACAGGTGGTAATCGCTCGGATCAGATCAGGGCTGTAAGAAGGGTGGTCCAACAACTCCCAGTTGAAATGCTCCAGGAATTCTCGAGTGCAAGCGTACGCGCGTGGTCATGGAGGAGCACTATACCGGCTGTCAGCACTCCAAGCCTTCTGGTCTGAATAATTCTAAGCAATTTTCTTAGTGTTTCGAAATTCACTTCTGACGTTACTCTGGTCCCTTGTTGCACGAATTCCATCATCAGCACTACTTTCCTATTCCAGAAAACAGTTACCATCAGCTTTATGGCGGGCAAACAACCCCTGTTTAAAGTTTTCCTGCTTATTTGGCGAATGTGTGCGCATCCATTGCTTTGACTGTTCTCTGTTTTCAACATTCACAAAAGAAACCAAGGTTTCATCACCTGTTACTCGCACAATATGACTTAGAAATTCACTGCCATCCTTGTAGTGATGTTGTAAATAATTGAAAGTCGAAACTCTTCTCAGCATTTTATGCACACCCGTGAGCATTTTCGGAACCTATCTTGCGCAAAACCTATGATAGTCTGTCTTAACTGTGATAATCTCGTAGAGAAGAGTGTGAAATTTGTGGAAATTCACACGAAAGTTCTGAAATTGTGAAGCGCCACCTTTCACGAATCTTTTGGTCAACACTTTGAACAAGTTCATCAATCACTGTAGATGGACGACTGACCACTTCCTCTTCATCATGAATATTTGTTCGCCTATCTTTGAACAATCTACACCGCTGCCTTACAGTTTCTTCCCTTACTAAATACGGAGAAGTACAAGGTGTGGCAATAAAGAAACCGGATTCATGCTCTAACCCNCACGGTTGTCCTGCCTTATAAAAACTAATTTCAAATCATAAAATATTGCAAGTGGCCTGCAAGTCAGCATTCTTAACCCTCGTACACGATGCTTTAATTTAGAAATTTACTAATGCGCAAGGCCCACAAAATTAACAGAGGTAGAAATATGAAACACAAAAAGCACTGCCTTCGGGGATTCGACCTCATGTAGTCTTACAAAAGTTCACTGACGTTTCGGAGGAACATACTGCCTCCTTCCTCCCAGTTAAAGAGTAAGCTGAACAAAGAAGACTTTTACTTGCTTCTCGCTTGTTTGGTTCACTTATCGACACGAAGATGAGACAGTAGGTTCCTCCAAAACGTCAGCCAAGTACCAGTCTATACAGTACCATATTCCCTTCGCACTGTCCGCTATAAGACCTCGAATTTCACATGTATATACCTTGCCGTAGATCATCATCATCATCATCACCACCAGCACCACAATCATTGGCAAAACAGCATTTTTTGAGCCATGGCCCTCCTTAGAATCTTCTGCTAGATTTAATTCTGCTTTCACTTCTCGGATTTGGCAACAATAAATTCTTGAAAAGCAGTCGTCGGCTTCACATTCAATCCCAACCTGGAGGACTAGGTCCCTGTGTATATGTCCCCCAGTGGACCAGTTATAGCCCCAGGAACCATGTCCCCTTTTCGTCGCCTTCTACGTCACGCAGGGCTGTGGTGGGAGTATTCTAACCGGCCTCCATTCAGGGACCTTGCTGTACATTGTGCTCCCGGATGTGCCCCCTAACCCCTCCCCACACCCGGCCGTGACTTTCATTTCTTAGAGAGACATATTTGCTACAGAAAACGCTGATCATGAAGATGAGTACAGCGCTGTACCGGGTCATAGAGTATCCCTTTCTTGACCATTCAGTATTTACCTTATCAAAAAATGTTTAAGGTAAAATCTGTCGATAGTAACGAGATATGCTCTCAGGCCCACACTTCTCGCTGTTATTGTTGTCGAAATATGATTTCCGTTTAGGGCCTCATTTATAGTAGGTAGTATTTTCAGTGGATCAAAGTCTCACCGGAGCCTCTTAACGATTTTGGAGGTACATCATGCAGACAGACAGAGAGACGGACGTGATTTTTTATGTGTTAACTTCATGTGCTTCCTACTTAGAGAAATTGAAACAATGCCAGCTTTAGCAGGGTGATGGAAGAGCGAAATAAAGAAGTCACAGAGAAATGTGACTGACACTTCAAAATGTATAAATGCACTTACGATTCATTCCATAAGAAGATGATGAATCTAGCGCTTAAAAATAAAAATCATGGCAATATTAATACAAACTAAAATGCACACTGTATGGTCACACTGGGAACGGGGATCTGCCAGTAATTTGTGCACATGCTGTGCAACATGCGGATGTACTACTCAGAAATCTCACATCTGGCATCCCCTAGAGTAAAGGAGTTATGCAATGCTGTGACGTTTTATGAGGACATAACAATACATCCGACGAATGACTGTCATTAAACTTTAATGTGGCAAATTTACGGACAGTACGCAACAAAATCACTGCAGGTAGAGTCCAACATAAAAGCTGCAATAGCTTCAGAGCAGCGTGTGTCAGTAATAAAGGCAGCCGTGTAGGATTTGACGGCAAGCTGTTTGTTTCCTAATGAGCGGTGCTTC